TTTTTTTTTTTTTGGCCGATTTGCACATATGGAAAGTTTGGGCTTATAGTTGCATTTTTTTCTCTTTCTTTTTTTTTTTTGTTTTGTTTAAATAGAATGACATTTTGATCATTTTACGTTAATAATGACGTTTAGCGCAAATAAATGTGGAAATAGAGACAAAAATGCCAAAACATAAATGGTAGGGACATTTTTTACAATAAACTTGAAAGGTAGGAACATTTTGCACCAACTAACGGCCAAAAGCAACCTAGACAATTATCAATGTTCTTAGTTTTTCAACAAAAATAATCCTCTTGGTGGAGAGAGAGAGAGATCAGCAACAAACTTTATTTTATTTACTTGTTCGTTTTCATCTTTTTCTTTTTCAAGGGCAGGGAGTTCGCTGGGATGCAATAATGACGATGATAACCAGTACAAAACGCAAGCAATGTCACAATGGAGTCCCTCATCTCTTGAAAATAAGTTCATTTGAGAATGTCAAGCCTGGCATTAATCCCCTCTTTTTAAGCCAAAATATAGCACAAAAGATGAGAAGGAAAGAAAACTGTAGAGGTTAAAGTATAGTGTATAAATTATTATTACAATTACAATGCGGAAACATAAACTCTTAAAGTGAAAACACCCAACAAATCGAACCAAAGCTTCTTCAACACCATCGGTGGAGTGTCCTATGATGTTGAGTTCAGATTTGTGCCACACCGAATCATACACTGTCGTTCACAGGAATGACAATGAATATACCAAGAAAAGGATCCATCAAAAGCCACCAAAAATTTCGCCGGAGATATGAACTTCTCCTGCTTGGTTACCTATTTACACTTTCTCTCTTTTGTTTTGCCAAGTCCAAATAAAATACGTAAAGAAGTCTTGTAATTATAGAGTCAAAACCATTTGAATTCAAATTCAAATATTGTACTATGATCAAAAGTGAATGTAACATGACTAGCAAAGGAGAATTGACCACAAGACTAAATCCAACCATTGAATTTAATATATGGTCCAAAATACTCCTAAACTTAGCACAATTATCCCCTTCAATCTCTTTAGACCTATTAACTTGTAACATGTGGATGGAGTGATCCACCTCCCAAAAACAATGTTAGGAAACATCAGACAACGGTCAAACACACCTTATCATTATCCAGATAAATTTGAAAGAAGTTGAATAATACCTCCCAGAGAAGAAATTTCCTTCAACGCATGCGAAAGCGACAAGTCTCTGCACATAAGCACCAGCTACTGGTATATATTAGCAAATGTTTAATGAACTGTAACAACCATACGTCTCACTGTAACATGCTAATCATGATTATCCAAATTACTATGTTCAGAGAGATAGGCTTAAGCACCGAAAAGCATGGGAGTCATTGACGAGAAAATAATCCAAAAACCTACAACTCCATGAAATG